AAACTCACTGCTCCCCCCCACCTGTGCTCTCAGTGGAAGGAGTCACAGGGCCCCCACACCACCTCCAGGAGGGGCTGCGGGGGCACAATGGAGGGGTGTGGGTGTCATCTGGGGGCTCTAGGGGGGTCACAGGAAGGGCCCCAGCTGCTCTGGCCCTGGGAGGGTTGGTGCTGGACCCTGCAAGAGTATTTCCTCCCTCAGTGGACAAAAGGCCATGGCTCTCTGGCGAGTGGGGAACGCTTGCAGGATATCCATGTCCACACATGCCCCCGAGTGGAAAAGCTGTTGTTTTTCCTGATCTCAGCTTGAAGGGAACAATGGTGGGTTTGTTCCCGGCCTCCTCCCAGGAGCCTGGCCGCTTCCCCTCCCCTGGACAGTTTCCCAGGCCCCTGGAAAAGCCCAGAGGGATGCGAGGGGCCGTGCGCTGGGGAAGGGGTCCCAGCGCCCCTGGATGTGATGCTTGGCCCAGCCCTGTCTGGCGGGACCGCTCCAGGCTGCCCACTCCCCACCAGTAGTGGCCATAGTAGCGCTCACAGGGTTTTTCTGCTTTGTGGCTGTGACTTTTCCTTTCTCCTAAGAAAACTGTGCTTAAGGAGACACACAGAGTATCCTCTGGCCCTTTTAAGGACACAGCCACGCTGGCGGGGTGGGGGTGGGGGAGTAGGGTGGGCAGGAGGCGCTGAGGGAGGAAGGGGCAGGTCCTGAGCAGGTGCCTGTTGTCAGCCTCACCCCGCCAGTCCCAGGACAGGTGGGCTCACATCAGGCTCCCTCACCTGCTGTGTGACTCAGGGAGGGTGGGAGAGGAGGAAGTGATTCCAGGTCTTTCCCAACTCAGCTCCCACAAAGGCACCCCAGCTAAGCCCACCTGAGGGAGCAGGAATTTGGGCCTCGGCTGAGCAGCTGGAGAGTTTGCCTAGATTATTTAATCTTCTCAAACCCCATCTGAAAAATGGACATAAAAGTCCCAATTGCAAACACAGACCTCATACCCTTCACAAAAACAAACTCCAATGGAGCACAGACCTCAGTGCGAACTCCAAGAAGAAAACACAGGGTTTGGCAGCCACTCCTTCAGAGGCACCAAACCCACAACCCACAAAAGAAGAACTGATAAGCCAGACTAAGAATCAAAAATCTGCTCTGTGAGAGACACTACCAACAAAATGAAAACACACTCCATAGACTGGGAGAAAATACTTGCAAAAGACACAGCTGTGTGGGGACGTGTGGGAAAGCCTGGCACATGAAGACTGTCCTTGTCTGCTGGTGCTTAGCTGGCACTGTGACTGACAGGAGACCCTGCACCTGCACCGGCAGGGCGCACTCACATGTCCACTGTGAATGATAACTTGTCTTCCACTTCCTGGTTGATGTCCCAGCGTTCAGCTCTTCTTCCCTGTCAGACCCTACGCAACCTGAGAATGCAGCCCACATCTCATGTGAGTGTATCCAGATGTGGCATGGTGACTAAAAACCAGCCTGCTGAACAAGTCTACAGCGAAAATGACAAACATGATTGGGACAAGTGAGACCTAAATTAATGTATACCATGTTCATGGACTCAGAACTCAATGCTGTCTACACGTCAACCTTCCCCCACAGCTACCTGTGGACTCAGAGCATTTCCAATCAAAACCCCAGCAGGCCTGTTTCTGGTAGAGGATGGTAAACGTTTATTAAAAGCTATGTAGTGATCCAAAGGATCTGCAACAGTCAGACAATCTTTAAAAGGAAAACACTGGAGAAGCTACACTGCCCGAGTTTGAGGTTTTCTACAAATCTGTGGCAATCAACAAGGTACTACACTGCAGTATAGACATATACCTCAATGAAACCAGAACAGAGACTCCAGAAACAGCTCATGCACACCCAATCAACAGGTCATAAATAAAGCTATCGTGGTGACTGTTAACAGGGGCTGGGACAGTCGAGATCCGAGGGGGAGGGCAGACCTCCACCACTCCTCACTCTGGCCATAAAAGAACTGGTTTGCACCACATTGTGCTCCCAGCGTAAAACCCAGGACGATAAGGTTTATGGGAGACAATATGGGAGAATATCTTCATGATGTTGGGATTGGCAAGCAAATAATTATTAACCAGGAAAGAAAAAAAGGTTGAAAGTTAAAATCAGTAACTGTGCTCTTTCAGGGATGCCAAAGGAAGCTGAGAAAGGCGCAAACCAGCAGGAAGCATTTACAGTGTGCACCTGACCAGGAAGCAGTCACCAAAAATATAAACTGCAACAATCACGCAGTCGAAACCAGACAGAGCGCCCACTAAAACAGGCAAAGCTCGAACCAGACTCACACAACACTGCCATGCTCAGCACAAGGTGCTCGACGGCACTGCTGCCAGAGAAACACAAATGGGGATCCTGTGACCGGCATCGCCCCATACGCAACAGCCACAGTGGAAGCAGTGAGACAGAACCCTCACCCACTCACTCGTCAGGCAGCGGGTAACTGGAAATCTCCTGGTTTCTAACAAAGGAAAATACCATCCACTCCAAGGTGCTTGGTTTTAATTCCTAGGTGTCGTCCATGTGGCTGCAAGAAACCACATCCTAGATTGCTGACAGCAGCCTTATTTGTGACAGGCAAAGCCCAAAGCAACCAAGTATCTGTTAAAAAGCTAACAGATTATCCACAGGTGGTACAGCCATAGGGTGGATCCTGCCCAACAGTAAGGAGCAGTGAGCTACTGAGACCCACGGCAGCAGTGACTGATCCCAAAAACGCCACGGGGAACAAAACCGAGGGCAGGAACCTAGGAACCGGGAATGAAGCCCACGGACAGCGACCTCGGCACAGCTTTAGGAGCCAGAGCTCCTGGAAGGAGGAGCCGCACGGGCAGGCACCAGGTGGCCGCCCTCCTCAGGAGGGCATCCCAGCTCCGGCAGTGCCGGAAGCTGTGCAAGCACAAGGCTGCCAATGACAGAGCTCACGGGTGGCAGACGGCTCACAGGTAGCGGGGTCGCTAGGCGTAAGGAAGACCCCAAGGACACAAGAGACCCAAAAGATGAACAGGGCCTCGGCCGAAATCTGTGGCCAACAGCCACGTCACACAGGGACCGGGCTGTAAGAGCGGCAATCGGAAGCCATAGGAGAGATCAGGTACCAGCTGCGGCTCACCACTGGGAAGGCAAAGCTACATCAGGGTCTGGGCCATGACCCCCACCACAGCGAAAGAGAATCCAACGTGGCAGATGCCAGGGCTGCTGACGTGTGTCACCTACAACCAAGAGAACAGGGAGGTGTGCCCGTGCCGGCCAGTGGCAAGTAACTCTGGGTCGACCCAGACAGGAGGTTTAGCAAACGCTTGAGGAGAGCACTACGCACGCATGCCAGGGAGGGACTTCACCTGAGACAGCGAGTCCGACAGATGCGTGGAGGCCATGGTGCGGGAAGCAGGATCGCCTCTCTCGAGGGCTCAGTGACAGGCCAGAGCCGGAAGGAGGGAGACTCCGAGGACGTGCAAGCAGGTCAAACTAAGGCAAAGGACTGAGAATAAAGGGAGACAGCATCAGGAAGCCACGTGAAAACGGCAAACGGCACAACACACATGGCTGAGTCCCGAAGGAAGGAGAGGGAGATGGGGCAGGGCAATATCTGAGGAGCTCCCCAGATCTGGTGGGAAAGTTACGTGGTGTACCTAGGAATCTTCACGCAGTCCAGGCAGCTTCAACACATCTGTCAGTAGCATAATGGAAAACCTAACATTTTATGCTCATAGAGTGAATTATTACTCAGCCTTGGAAATGACAAAGCAGAGCTCCACATAAGAGGACGCACAGACCTGCACAGTCACCACTCAGAGAAGCAGCACACATGACACAGCCCCACAGAGTGCCTGCCCAAGAGGCTAGGCCTTGGTGCTGGGGCAGGCTGACGTCACCCGCAGGGGGGCCAGGCTGACGTCACCCGCAGGGGGCCAGGCTGACGTCACCCGCAGGGGCCAGGCTGACGTCACCCGCAGGGGGGCCAGGCTGACGTCACCCGCAGGGGCCAGGCTGACGTCACCCGCAGGGGGGCCAGGCTGACGTCACCCGCAGGGGGCCAGGCTGACGTCACCCGCAGGGGGGCCAGGCTGATGTCACCCGCAGGGGCCAAGCCTACGTCACCCGCAGGGGGCCAGGCTGACGTCACCCGCAGGGGGCCAGGCTGACGTCACCCGCAGAGGGGCCAGGCTGACGTCACCTGCAGGGGGGCCAGGCTGACGTCACCCGCAGGGGGCCAGGCTGACGTCACCCGCAGGGGGGCCAGGCTGATGTCACCCGCAGGGGGCCAGGCTGACGTCACCTGCAGGGGCCAAGCCTACGTCACCCGCAGGGGGGCCAGGCTGACGTCACCCACAGGGGGCCAGGCTGACGTCACCCGCAGGGGGGCCAGGCTGACGTCACCCGCAGGGGCCAGGCTGACGTCACCTGCAGGGGGCCAGGCTGACGTCACCTGTAGGGGGGCCAGGCTGACGTCACCCGCAGGGGGCCAGGCTGACGTCACCTGTAGGGGGGCCAGGCTGACGTCACCTGCAGGGGGCCAAGCCTACATCACCCGCAGGGGGCCAGGCTGACGTCACCTGTAGGGGGGCCAGGCTGACGTCACCTGCAGGGGGCCAGGCTGACGTCACCTGCAGGGGGCCAGGCTGACGTCACCCGCAGGGGGGCCAGGCTGACGTCACCCGCAGGGGGCCAGGCTGACGTCACCCGCAGGGGCCAGGCTGATGTCACCTTGAGGCAAGCCGAAAGGGCAGAAACGTGAGGCACAGGAAGGGAAGCTCCTGGGCGCAGCTCTGGTTCTGCCTCTCGATCTAACAGGTGGTTTTGCTTTGTGACAGTTACTGGGCACGTGTACAAGGTCTCTTCTCTGTACACACTTTATGTATGGATTAAAAAGCCTGAAGTGCTGTTAATTTCATAAAGAGGCAGAGACAGAATCGCAGGGAGGGAGGGGCGTTGTCAGAGGAGCTGGCTCTGCACTGAATCCTGAAGCTTGCACGAGGTTCTCAGGTGAGGCTTTGGAGTGAGAGGGCTCAGAGGGGGTCTCTGCATGGTCTGGACACAGGCCGTGGGCGCCCACCCGCTGTTCTCACACCCACCACTGCCGCCCAGCAGCAGCTTGGGCACTCGGGTGGGGGTATCGGACAATCCCTGGGGCTAGTTTATTTGGGGTGCCAGTAACGTGGGGTTGGAGGCAGGGTACCGACCCACATGCAGTGTGAGTATGAGACATAGACGCAAGGATGGTGGACGAGGACGGCACCCGCCCGACCCTGGATGTGGGCGCCAGGCCACAGACGCGAGAGTCCAGTGGACAAGGAGGAAGTGAGCCCTTTGTGCCCAGCCTCGCAATTCACACTGGGTCAGCTGCGTCACGCTCAGCCACCCAGGGATGACGCAGATGTGGGCCAGCTGTGGCCTCCCTGCTCCCCTGTCCTCCCTCCTGGGGTCTCCACACCAACGCGGACACTGGTTTGCTCCCCTTTTTACATGGACTCCCCCTTCACAATCCCTCATCCCTCCCCAGCCTCACTGCAGACTTCCTGCCACGCCATGCCCTGGGCTGTTCTGCAGGACCCTCCTCATGCCCCAACATGGTCCTGGCTGTGGACATGTGATGGCGCCAGCTGGCACCCCAGCGCCGACGTTAGCAACTGGTTTGGCCGAAGGCCATGTGATTCTGGCCCCGGGAGGTGACGGGGATTGCAGAAAGGCTTCCACCCCACAAAGGCCACCCTGCATCAGGAGGGCACAGCCCAGCAGCACCAGCCGGGCAGGAGGGTGAGCCAGACGTGCCCAGGCTTGGGTCCCGACAGCTGACTGATCACGCTGGAGAAGCACTCTGCCCATGGTCAGCTTTCTTTCACTCACTCCCAGGAGTGTCCACGGTGTTGGCCCTGCCTCTGCTGCCCTCCCTGGGCCACACACGCCCATTCCTCGCAGCCTCCTCTCTGCCTTCACGGGGGCTTTGCAGGATGCAGTCTCCCCTTGCACCACCCCAACCCCAACCCCTGCTGAAGATCCAGACACTCGTGGTCCTGACACTCTAAGTGGGGTCCCTGCTGCCACGCCTGGGCCTCAGGGAGCCACTGTCACACGTCCACACGGCCGTGGGACACAGGAGGGCAGACGTGGGGAACTGGGCATTGCTGTCCTGTACCGGCAAACGGGTAGCACCACTGAGCATGTTACCACTGTGTACAAGGCTGCTGCTCAGCCAGAAAAAAAGAGAACCCCACCTCAAATGTGGGGGTCCCTGCAGCTCTGGGGCCTCTAGAGTCCAGCGACCTTGGAGGGAGAGTGCAAGCGGGTGACTAAGCAGGTGAGCTAGCAGGCGAATGGGGCTCCACTGCCACGCTGACACGGCCGTGGGGAGTGGGGGCCACTGCCATAGTAACACATCCGTGGGGAGTGGGGAGCGGGGGCCACTGCCATAGTAACACATCCGTGGGGAGTGGGGAGTGGGGGCCACTGCCATAGTAACACATCCGTGGGGAGTGGGGAGTGGGGGCCACTGCCATAGTAACACATCCGTGGGGAGTGGGGAGTGGGGGCCACTGCCACACTAACATGGCCGTGGGGAGCAGGGGCCAGTGGCAGCAGGTGAGTGAGTGAGCAGCGAGCGTGTGAGCCGGTGGCTGTATCAGCTTTTTCTCCAGGGTGGGGTTGAGACTACGGACAGGAAGGGGTGCAGTGCCTGCCCTCGGCTTGCTCCCAGTCCTCTGCTGCAGGGCGTGGGGCCAGGGCTGAGGGCTGCACAGCAGAGCTCTGAGACTGGCCAGCCCTCGGTGGGGAGTGCTCTTTGCCCAGTGCCTTTGCTGGGTGAGCTAGAAAGCAACGCGTCCAGCCCCTGAGTCAGCCTGGAGGGCTGGAGTGGCCTGGCCAGGCTGCCGCTGCCACTGGGCACATGCAGGCATACTTAGTGTCGGGGACGTTGGCCATTCTTCCCTGAAGCTCGGGGTCAGTGGCCACACGGAGTGTTCCCAGAGCAGCTCTGCCCCAGGATAAACAAACGCTGCCTCCCCGAGAGGATCTGGAGAAATGGCCTAAAAATAGGCTGGGGAGCCCTGACTCAGGGGCCCTGCAGGCAGGGGAGGGCCTGGGATGAGCATGCTCCGCTTGGCAGTCTCGTGTGGGCTTGAGAGGAAGAGGAGGTGACTGTCACGTCGTGACTCATCTGGGAGCAAGAGGTGATGCCGCCCGCTAGCCCATGCTGGCTCTGGGCACCAGGCCTCCAGCTGCAGGACGCGTCTCCAGGGCCCAAGGGGACAGCCGCACAGATGGGCCCTCCAGGGGCTGTGAGAGGCTGCAGCCCAGGGTGGGGTCAGCCAGGAGCTGACACATCCTCTCACCCAGTGCTTGATCATGGAAACAGCCTGCAGGGAGGGAGCAAGGTCCGGCGCCGAGTCTTCGCACGACCTGAAGTTCCCACGGTGTCTGTCCCACGCACACATGGCTGTGCCCCTGCTGACTCCGGAGACACATCTTCACCCCAGAGGCATCTTCTCCCAGCAGTTCTCTCGACGGGCCACATGGAGACTTGCTTCTGCTGCTCAGGAATGCTGGGACGGCAACGAAGCCTGGACTCCTGGGGAGCCCATGATCACCTGTTTCAGGGACGCGTAGGTAGAGGTTCTCCTGGGGACCATCAGCTACTCTGCTTTCTCAGATCAGGGACTTTCTGAGCTGCGCCACTGGGCACAAAACATGCCCACCGCTGTCACCTTTAGATGACTGTTTCATGCTCATCTACCCACTCATCTACCCAGTCATCATCCATCCATGGTTCACTCATCTACTCACTGTCCACCCTCCACCAATCCATCCATCCACCCACCTACCCACCCACCATCCATCCACCCAACCACCATCCATCCATCAATCTACCCATCCATCCACCCATCACCAATCCATCCATCCATCCACCCACCCACCTACCCATCCACCCACCCATCACCATCCATCCATCCACCCATCCACCCACCCACCTACCCATCCACCCATCAACTCACCCATCCATCCATCCACCCATCCATCCACCCACCCATCCATCCATCTGTCCACCCACCATCCATCCATCAATCCACCCACCCACCTACCCATCATCCATCCATCCATCCATCCACCCACCCATCCACCCATCCATCCACCTACCCATCCATCCATCCACCTACCCATCCATCCACCCATCATCAATCCATCCATCCACCCACCTACCCATCCACCCACCCACCCACCCATTCCCACCCACTTATGTAAACATCCATCCATCCATCCCTCTAACCCTCCGTGCTATCCATCTACCATCCAACACCTGCTTGTCTAGCCAGCCATTCATCCTCCCACACATTCATCCATCCAAATGACATATAGGAAGAATCTACTCTGGGCCACTCCCCACACCTGCATGGACTTGGACACGGACTTGAATGGAATGGACCTGGGCAGCACCATCAACAGGGGACAAGAGCCAAGTGTAAACGTAACAGACTGCCACCACGGGGTTTCCAGGAGGGGCTGCATGCATCTTGGCATTCCGACCGAGGCCAGAAGCCACCTGCAGCCAGATGTGGACAGAGAGAGCTTTGGCAGGACAGGCAGGCACAAATGCGTGAACAGACCGAACACAGCCCAGCCACCTAGGTGGGTGCTGCGGGAACCGCAGCGGCTGCGTGAGTGGGCAGGGAGCCGTGTGCAGGCTTAGGACACCTGCTGTTTCTCTAGCCCTCCGGAGCCACCTCCTGGCATCGTGTGCCCAGTGAATAGCAATGCCAACATCTGGAGAGCGGGCACAGGGAATGCAGACAGCAGGGCAGCCCAGGCAAGCGTCCCCGGTTCCTGCTTCCTCGGGCGGGGGTGGCGGGCCGGGGGGAGTCAAAGGGCTTTTGTTCCTGTTTTTGCTCATTCCAGAAAGGATTTCACTTGACTCACGGTTTCCCAACTGGTCCTCTCCGTAGCTTAAGAAACCAAGAGTGAATAATTGCCCTAGGTTTTGCTTCTTGGGTTTTTCCCTTCATGACAGGAATGTGTAAACACCCTGGGGTTTTAGCACGGGTGCCAAACCCCACACGGGAGGCTGCACATGCTTCCGGGCGCTGGCTGTCACTGCTGCTGGCTGGGGCGGACCCTCCTGGTGAAGCCTGCCCTTCTCAGAGCTGCCGACTGGGACTCTCGTCTGGGAAAGGGGCTGGGGGCACACTGGAGCCATGCACCCACCAGGTGTATCCTCAACTGTGCCCCCAAGTCCACGTCCTAGCGAACGTGGGGGTGTCTGCAGGCTGACTGGGCCTTGAAAAGCAGGTGACCTGAGGTTAAAGGAGGTCACTGGGGTGGGCCTGACCCACCCTGTTAAGAGGGGCACGGAGGATGAGCACACAGGGACAGGGCAAGAGGATGGCATCCGTGAGCCCAGAGGGCTCCGCCCAGCCTCATCTCAGACCCCTGGCCCAGCACCAGGGTCGCTCAGAAGCTCAGGGGCAGCCTGCACAGGGAGGGCTGGCCTCACCGCCAGCCCTGTGCCTAGGGCAGCAACCACAGACTGGGCCTTAGGATTCTCCGGAGACAGAGGCACAGGGGCACATCACAGCCTGCTGGACCTGGGGCATTCACCACGCGGTTTCCAGGGTGGACACGGGTGAGTTCAGTTGACCTCACAATAGCATAGCTTCTTAGAATCTTGATGCCCATGCCAACCGATGGGAAGGAGCCATCTGCTTCTCACGGGATTGGGCCTTTGTCCAGTTGGCACAGGTGCCTGCTGAGCTGGTCGGTCTATGCCAAGTCCTCCCGTGGCCTCTGCCACGCCCGGCTCCAGCGTGTGCTGGCAGCTACCGAGGGCAGTTGTGGGGGAGCGGCAGCAGCTACGCAGGCAGACCTGCCCCCACTGTCAATCCTCCCAGCCCCTCAGAAGTGGCTGAGTCTCTGGGAAGGGAGGACCACGGCTGCCCAGCCTAGTGCTTGCCCCACTTCAGTGCCCAAGTGTGGGCTGGGGGCAGGATGGCTTCTCTGAAACCATTTGCCCTGTGGTCTGCAGCCCCTCTCTGGGACACAAAGGCCAGGCCCGTGGAGTGTGTCATGTGGCCCAGGTAGGACGAAAATGGAGGGTGGGGCTTGGACTGAGGGCTCCCAGGCTCCCATGAGCCTGGCCTGTGTCTGCCCGCAGCAGCAGGAGTGTTTGGATGACAGACACGTGCGAGGCTTGCCCCCGACTGACCCAAGCAGTCACCATGGCTGGTCCCCAGGTGGCTTTTCCCGCCAGCAGCCCAGGCAGCTCTCTCTTGGTACACACCCTGGGGCCTGCAGGGTGGGCGGCTCTTGCAGCTCCCTGTCCAGTTTTGCTGCAGCCAAGGCTCCGGAGCAGGGGCAGGGCATGCACCCCTCTTCCTGCCTCCACCACAAACTGGTGGGGAGCAGGGCTCCTGCCTGCTGGGCTCCTTCAGCCCCACACCTGCTCTGTGGGCTCTACCCCCAGGGCCTGGCCCCTTCTCACTCCTGCCCAGCTCCCGTGTCACGGCAGTGAGGACAGGAGTATCCCAGGGCAACATGGGTGACATCAGCTGTGTGGTCAGGACACCTGGCCACCAGGCATCACTGCTCCCTGCCAGGGGCTCAGCGAGCAGCGCCCACTGACCACAAACCCCATCTGCCGCGTGTGCGGAGAGGAGAAGCCGTCACAAGAGGCGTGCTGTCTGGTTCAGTGTGGGTTCCCAGCTGCCCCCGCTCAGCCTGCTGTGAACCAGAGCCCAGCAGGCCCAGGCCCAGGACGGCTTCTCCTCCTGAGCCTCCCAGGTCTCGGGTAATAAGCAAACCTTCATGCGGCAACAGCAGCGCTGGGCAAATACGTGAGCCTGTCAGGGAGGGTGCGTTCCCATGCACGCGAGCGACACTGCAGGGCCCAGGAACAAGGACGCTGGGCCAGGACTCAGCCACAGGCTGAGTGAGCATGCCTGGTGAGCAAAGGGTGACCGTCCAGCCTCAGTGCCACCGAGGGCTCCTGAGGTCAGGGGAAGGGGCCCAGGGTTCCTCCCAACAGCTTCAGAACCAACAGGGGGAGGCCAGTGGCGGCAGCTGACGATGCCATCACAACGCCCACCCAGCCCGAGGGCTCTGTCCCAAGCCTGTCCCTCCCAGCTCCAGCCCCACCCTGCCCTCACCAGGTGCCCTTCACTCCAGCGATGGGCATCCGCAGACTGACACTGCAGAGAAGCCGGCTCCTCACTCCCACCCCCACCCCCACCCCGGCGGCCGCCCTTGGTCAGAGCGCCTACGTCTCCTCCCACACTTTCACCTTCTCTTCTCTCCTCTGCCCCCACCCTCCGCCAGATCGCCTGCCCCTCCTGACTGCACCACTTCCAGAGAAACACTGAAGTCCGCTGTTTCTGAGCCAGCTGCCTTGCCCTTTAAACTGCCATGGGTCAGTGCTGCTGTCTCCAGGCGGCGGCAGTCAGTGGCAGCACTGGCCTGTGGCTCTGCCTACGTGTGGCCCCCGGTAGGGAACTGGGACCAGGGACTGGCAGCTTCCTCCGCAGCCCGTGGGGCCTGTCCTGTATCGGCAGCCCCCATGACTCCTGGGAGCGGCCCCGGCCGGAAGTGACAGGGCTGTGCACGGCACGGAGTCCAAGGCCTGCCGTGCAGAAACCGGGGGGATGCCTTGCAGGCCCGGTCCCGGCGGGCACACGCTTAGCCACAGCCCAGCGGAGGCGGGAGAGCCACAGGGTCCGACAGCTTTCCCACCAGGGGTTTCTAGCAGGATCAGGAACTTCAAAACCCTGCACCTTTCTAACCACACGGGAGAGAAGCATCAGGATGAGTCCAGCACTTTTTCTCACAACGTGAGCAGGGCAGCAGGCTCGTCCCAGCCCCCGCCTGCGTCACGGCAGACATGTCAGATCCACTTCCAGCCAGTGCTCAGGCAGCCATTACCAATCAATCCCGGCTGACTTGCGAGATTAACCTGTTACTCATCCTTCGAGTTACCATGAGTCAGCCAAGGTCAGACAGGGGAAGTGACTCACAGGTCACCAAGCGAGGCTGGACAGTCTCCTGGAGCCTGGCGGAGGGCCACAGCCCGGGGGGAGTGAGGCCCAGTCCTAAATAAAGCCACAGGACAGACGCACCAGAGGCCAGCTCTTCCTGCCAATGTCCCACGACCTAGAGGGAGCAGCTGGCTCTTCTTAGCACGGGACAACAGGGCCGTGGGCTCTGGTGGGTTTCACGAGGCTGCCCTGGGCAGTCAGGGCCCTGCCTGCCCCTGCATCCTGCAGAGAACGCTGGGCCGGACACCCCGCTGCCAGCCGCGTCTCACAGCCTTCGGTCCTGCGGTCCTCAGATCTGTTCATTTCACAGTGCAGGGGTGACCTGCAGAACCCGGTCTCCAACCCAGGAAACACTGCCCCTCCTGCTTGGGGCCTGCCCTCCTTCAGGATGCCCCCCTTCCTGCCTCCCACCCCAAGGGTCACCCGCAAGGTTCCCACCTCCGCTTAGGGAAACAAGGACTTGCAGCTAATTCTTCTCTCCCTCCTGCAGTGACTATGTCAGGAATCCCTGGGCCCTCAGAGACAGGGAGCAGGGGTCATGCTGAGCCCATGACGGCCAGGCAGGGGGCCCCACAGCTGGTCCTGTGGCTGTTCCCTGACTTCGGCAGGACTGGACCCCTCCTGGAGCCCCACCAAAGCTACTGACCTTACTGCATAGGAACAAGGTAATTTAATGCTGTAGAAAAAGGACTTAAAGAGCAAAGGCGGAAAACCAACCGACAGACCAAATCCCCAAACCCGGGTTCCAGAAGCAGCAGATTGTTAGAGAGCCCAGCAGATCCAGGAAGAGGCAGCACCCCGCCCTGGCCAGAGCCCAGACACCGCCCCGACAGGGCTGGAGAAAGCCCCAGCCTGAAGGGCAACAGGTGTTCTCTGCCTCTCCGTCACATCGGAGCCAGCCTGGCACAGCCACATCACAGGGGAAACCTTGCTTCACACCCAGTGTGATCCCCATACAACCCTCACACAACCAAACACAGCACAGGGCCCTCGCCCACACACCTCTGCACCCCGAGCACAGGGCCCTCGCCCACAGCACCTCTGCACCCCCAGCACAGGGCCCTCGCCCACAGCACCTCTACACCCCCAGCACAGGGCCCTCGCCCACAGCACCTCTGCACCCCCGAGCACAGGGCCCTCACCCACAGCACCTCTGCACCCCCAGCACAGGGCCCTCGCCCACAGCACCTCTGCACCCCCAGCACAGGGTCCTCGCCCACAGCACCTCTGCACCCCCAGCACAGGGCCCTCTCCCACAGCACCTCTGCACCCCCGAGCACAGGGCCCTTCCCTCCCATGGAAACCTTTGGAACAGGCTGCTCAGAGTCTCCTGGCCCCTATATGTGGCCATCAGGGTTTCCAAAGTAATCCCACAACCCCAGCCAAGTCCAGTCTCCCAGGTGGTTCTGGTTGAAGACCTGAACAGATTAGGCCTCACCCCAGGGATACAAGCAGGGAAGGGCACAGGCCTGGGAGGGGCAGGCCAGCATGGAAGTTGGGATTTTCTCCCATGCAACCCAGCAAGAGCAGAAGCAGAAACTGGGCTGCAGGTCTGGACCCAGCACAGAGCTCTGCCCGGAGAGCAGGGGAAGGGTTCTCGCCCACACTCGGCGCTGGGCGCCGGCATACTTTCCCAGCTGCAGCCGCAGCCCCTACACAGGGACCACGAGACTTTGGATGCCTGGCAGCGGCTGGAGCAGACAGGGGCCCACCGGGACAGCAGAGCCGGAGCGAGATGCCAGGACAAGGCCACGGCAACCAGGCGAAGCTGTGGTCGGCCTACCCCCAGCTGCATGCACCGCTCTGCTGTGCTGCGGCCCAGGGGCAGACGGTCTCAGGGCTCCAGAGGGGAGGGCGCCTTGACTTTGGTCAGGGGTGCGTCAGTTGCAGTCTGGACGCCTGTTACTGATTAGTGCGCCGAGCAGAGTGCGCAGCCCTGTGGCCTGTCCCCTCTGCAGCCACCTCCTGCTTCCCCAAAAGCAACAGGCCAAGGCTCTCTCGAGCATGCCATCATGCATGGACACCCTGCAGGCTCAGGCCACCGTCACAGGGCCACCCCTGTCCCGAGCAGAAGAGGGCTGGCAAGGACAGGAATGGTCCTCAGCAAAGCCAAGACCTGGCCAGGGCTGACACAGCTGGGGTGCACCGGCTCTCTCCAGACACAGCAGGGACGGCAGCTTGGAGCTCTGGAAGCTGGGCTGGGGTGGGGGGGCCCTGCAGGGGGCGTGCTGTGGATGGGGCTTCCTGGCGGTTCCTTTGCCGACTGTTCACAAGAGTTCTGGGGGCCTTGAGATGCAAAACATCCCAGTATCCAGCGACTGGCCACATGACTGCGCAGGGCAGTGCTTCGTCCTGCCCCACAGCTGACAGCCTAAGAGCCAGAATTGGGAGGCCTCACGCCCACAGCGACCTCCCGGTCAAGGCAGCGGCACCCAGCCTTCGCACGTTGAGGTTGCCTGCTAGGTGCCCCCATCCTAGCCCCTCCGCTCCACCGGAAGCCCAAGAACTGCTCTAGGGTCTTGTGAACACGTTCAGGCCCTCACTAGGGCACAGAGATTCTCCCTGAAGCCTCCAGACGTCACCAGCCCTGCTGTCACCTTGACCTCAGCCCAGCGAGACCCCCCAGAACCGACAGACGAAGCACAGCTGCTTCCAGGCGCAGCCTCAGGAAGCGCACCCACCTCCCTCTCTGGGGTCCGGGAGATGGGGGAGATGGGGGCTTCTCTCTGGTGCCTCTGCTTCCTTCTGGTGCCCTCAGGTCTGCCCCAGCCTTTCTGACAGCTCCAGGGTCTCCATGTTGTCACTGCCTGCCCACTGGGTCCCTGACAGACAGCTGGGCTCCCCATCCCCAGCAGGCACGTGAGTCCCCAGGGAGGCCTGGAAACCCTGACAGCTGCTGTGCGTCCGCTTTGTGGTGAGCACAGCCCTTCTCGGAGCTGCAGCCAGGGGAGAGTGTGTGGCTGGGGGGAGGGGCAGGGCCTGCGGCGGCTCGGATCATTGCCCGTGGGAAATGTCCGATTTCCAGGGTGGTTTACATCCAGCTCGAATCCTGGGTCCCTTCCCTGGAGCCTGGGTCAGCCGGGCACACATGTGCAGGACACGCTGGGGACTCTGGCAGTGACAGCGTGGTTTGCTCACACTGGTATTCTCTCTCTCTCTGGGACAGGCCTGCTCCCTAGGATAGGGGCTGTGAGGGCAGCCCCAGACAAGAAAGGGACAAGTGTGTTCCTGGGCCCAGCTGAGCCAACACCCTCAGCCACGCATCAGCACACCTGAGCCAGGCCTCCTCTCCTCCGGCCCGAGCTTCCTGTGGTCACTCCCACATCTTGTCCTGGAGCCTGCCTCACAGGCCCAGACGCAGGGACCCTCTCCCTCTCCATGAGCTGATGACTGGGAAACAGAGCCTGTCTGCAGACAGCCTGTGGCACCGTGGGGTGAGCCCTCCTGGGCTCTGCTAGGCCCCCCTCGATGAGCATGGCCAGATCTGCTGCCATCCGCACCCCCACCCCCCTGCCCTGAAACTTACGGGAGAAAACAGAAAGCGGTACAGGAACCACACGTTTCAATTCCATCGCAGCAGCATATGAACTTGGAGACAACCACCCCGGGCCACCCAGGCGGAGACCTGAGGCCGCGGAGCACAGGTGCAGACGGAAGGAGAGGGGCAGGCGCGCCGCCGCGCAGGAAGCGGGCTGCTGCCGAGGCAGGGCAGAGCAGGCTGCAGCTCAGGTGGCAACACACACGCCTGTGCACACTGCAGACACACGCACACACGCGCATGCAAGGTCACACACACGTGTTCACGCATCCACACACTCACAGTGCCTGGCACACAACGCTCCAGCCCCAGGCACTCCCTCCTAGCCCCCAGCCCCCCTGCACGGCAGCAAACACCAGCCCTGGAGGAGCCCCCGGGCTCTGAGCAGGAAGTCTGCCGGATCCGCCAGGTGAGTCACCTGCTGTGCCCACACCAGGGCCATGTGGCAGGGACAGAAGCCACTGCCTCCAGCCACTTCCCTAAGGCCACTGCTTCAGCTGTGCCTGCTGCTGTCCACAGGAGCAAGGTCAGCGCCAAGGCCAAGCGCTCAGCGTCAGCAGCAGCACGCCAAGTCGCCAGGCTTCCAGGGGAGTCTGCTGA